GTATGAAACTGTTCAAGTTGTCCAATGTATAGGTCCAAGAGGGGCATCATCAATAATCTCATTACCAATGAGAATGGAAACACTGCAAATCTTATGTCTGGCTACCATTACATTTGGTGATTTGTACTTAAGTTGATTCATAGCAATCATTTATATAACATGGATACTATGTGACAGAAATTTTCTCCCAAAAATGTAGCTTTTTAAAATTTGTTGAAAATGTCTTGAAATGTTAACAACAAAATTGATCAAAATGTTATTCATATATTAAGAAATTCAATTTAAAAGTATATAACACCAAAGTTCAAGTACATTCATAGAGTTCTCTAATTATCACCATGTAATAGGCATTTTATTTATTTTCATCATTCCCAAATACCAAACGTATCTCTTCTATTTTAATTGAAAAATTAATTGCTTCTTATTTTAGACATTTAATCAGAATCATTCTGGGTAGAGTTTTAAAAAAAATATTTATAACCAATTGCCATATCACCATTTACTTAACAATTTACCTTTTGCTTTTTCATTCTGCCACTACTGGCTCCTGGGTTTTCCTATATATTTGAATCTGCTGTGGAATCCATTCTGTTTCATTGTTTGGCTACCCCTTGTCAGTACCACACTGCTCTTAGTCCTCTAGCTTTATAAGAATTCTTTGAAATTGAGGGAGACAAGTGAATGAAGCCCTAGGCACTGTGGGCTCCAGCACAGCCAATGGGTGCGTTCACTCTACCTTTCAACTCCCCTGGGCCCACAGAGGTGAGACCAGTCTCCTTTTGTCTCTAGTCCTTGCTTGCTTCCCTCTTATGTACATTGACAGCAATGCTCTGAATATCAAACTCTTCCTTGGCTTGACTTAAAGTAGATCCTTTAAGTGTGGTGGCTCATGCCAGCATTCCCAGTACTCTAGAGGAAGAAGCAACAGTATCAAGAGTTCAAGGTCATCTTTGACTGCATAGTGAGTTCAAGGCCTGCCTAGGCATTCCAAGACATTGCCTTAACCAAAACCAAACAAATTCAACCCTAATAAATTAACTATTTACAAACAGTGTAAAACTCTTCACATTCTTGGTGAAAATTCTCCTTAATCACACACAGGACTGGGTTTAGCCTAGGAGCTACTTAATTAATCCTCTACACATTTGTCCTTATGACTTTTGTTAGAGTTCTCTGCCTTACATGGAGGCCAGATGCCAGTCCCTGCTACATCCTAACTAATGTTCTACACTATTTGTACTCTTCAGTTTAGTTTAAATTTCAAAGCATAGCCAACCCTTTAGCTTTCACTTTGCTCTGAGGAACAGGTGTCAAGTGGATCTCACGCTTAAGAGGCTTTCCACTTTTGGTGGCTGGGCCACAGGTCTTTGACAGTTCCATCCATTCTGGGTACATCATTTTTCTAGCTCAAGCCCATTTCTGTCTGTAGACCCAGAGAACTTAGAAACAAAAGTGGAACTGACACATAGAAGAACCTTTCTTTACACCAGGGGCTCACATCAGCTGTGTCTGGTGCGCTTAAGGAGTGATTCACAAACAAGAGTACGCACATAGAGCAAAAAATTCCAGGGAGTGGGCTGCTGCAATGTCTCTGTTGACAAAGATGCTTACCCTCAAGCCTGAGGCCCTGAATCCTATCCCTGAGACCCACGTGATGGAATGAGAGGGCTGACTCCTGAAGTTGTCCTCTGACTTCTACATGTGTGTCTAGGCATGCAGCCTCCCCACCCCGAAAAACAGGTAATAGAAAATTATATGGTAAACAGTGCTTATGGCATGTGCTCATGTGAAAGAATTAAGTGGAACAATGGTACTTGCTGCTTTTTGCTTCCTCTCATTCCCCAACACCCCACATTTTACAAGGAAATATTTTTTAAATAACAAGCAAGGCAAACAATCTTTTCAGGATAGAACATTAACCTTCAGAAATGCCGGCTTTTCCAGTTCTATCATTTGATAGAATCAATAGAAAAGTCTCTAACGGTGGCTAGAGAGGAACTTGATATCTATAGCCCATGAGCAGTATAAAACATGTTGGTTCTGACAAAGAATTATAAGTTTGTCTGGAAGTTCTGTGTGTTTTAGGATCCACAAAAAAAAAAAAAAAAAAAAAAAAAAAAAAACAACTAGCACAAAACAGTTCAAGGGCAATTGGTTGCTTCTTTTTAAATAATATATCCTACTGAATTACAAAGTTCTGGAAGTATTTGATTTTGTGAATCATGCTATATACTCATCTATAAAATGAAAGACTAATTAAATGATGATGAAGTCCTTTCTACTACTAGAGTCTGTCTTCTGTTTTAGAGATGAGGGTATGACAGACAAATGACTCATCTGTGGTTGTAGTCTGGCTAGTTACAGAACTGTCTGTCAACCCACATTTTCTTACTTTTATCGGCTTCACCATCTGCCTTTCAAAAGATGGCTGTCTATAGAAAACAAAGCTGGCTACAACTTTCTGACCATGAGGAAACACTAAGTTCACTACGAGTTTGTTTAAAATGATACATAACTCAACATGATTGTGGAACCTTCAGTGGCAGACTCCCTTTCAAAGGGGAATAACCTCGGAAGGTTTTCTGGAGTCTGAGTCCATAGTGGAGGGCTGCCAGGCACAAAAGATCGAAAGGACTAATTCTAGAAAAGATGAATGAGGTGGGGGGTGAATACTCCCAATTCTGAGCTTCACTTAAAAGGAGGAAGAGGAGGAGGGATAGGAGGAAGAAAGAGAGAAGGAAGAGGAGGAAGGCCTGCCCACTAGCAGTGTAATAGCACAGGGCAGGAGGAGCCGCAAAGTCGGAAAGGGCTCAGACAGTTCATATTTTGCCTGAGTGGATAAGAGATCAGACCTGGGCTGAATTTAATGGTCTCTGGAGATGTTGTTTGTGAAAACAGTTTCCATTGCCTCTAGTCCCTGATGTAGGACAGCAAATAACATCCACAAGTCTTTTTGATTTTAAATGATCGGGAAGCTAAAACTTTTTTTTTTTTTTTTAAAGCATTAAAAGTTGAGGTTTCTCTTAATAGAAGTCACTTCTATTTTTCAGAATCCTCTGCAGGTGGAGGGCTACAGAAATTGGAGAAGGCTGTGGCTTGGCATCTGAACAACTCTGTTCTGCTTTTCTCCTTGCCCTGGCTAGAGAATGCTGGCCTGTTCTGTAATGGTAGGTCCATTCTGCCAGAAAAGTCACATATTTGTGGGTGGAGCCAGTTGGGAGGCTGGGCGATCTGTCAAAAGTCTGCATAGGCCAAACACTGCTAGGACTGCCAGGGGTTGAAAACTAATACCATGGGGGTTAGCAAATTTCCAGTGTGCATGGAGCCAAAGGTGTGCTTTTAGAAGTAGGGCAAGCAGGAGACAATGGGGGGAAGGAAGAGAAGGAAGCAGATGTGTGTGACCCAGGTCCTTTCATGACACCCAACTTTAGGTGCTACAGGGCAGCCTCAGAGGTCCCTGCTGTCAGCCTGCATTGTGTGTAACTGGTTCTCCTGAGTTCTTTACCTCTGGCAGAGAATAGGGCACCTGGTCATACAACCTAGGAAGTTAACCGAATGTATAAGACTGGAAAGGTCAAAAGGTTAAAAGGCATAGTCTCCTCCCCAAGGTCACATTTGCAGGAAGCTGTTGGTAGACTAGAGGGGACTGTTCGATAGAGCTGTCTACACGTTATGCAGAGAGCTCCAAGGCTTTGGTGAAGCCACTCAGGAATGGGCTTTTTAGTGAGGTAATGGCTTGAGTCTCCAATGCTCCTGTAACTCACCCCCAATAAACTCATTGGTTTGAACTCATTCAATTTAAATGGAATCTTTTTTTTTTTTTTTTTTTGGTGTCCTAGATGGAATTAATTAGCACTTCCCCACAACTCTTGTAGCGGTTTGCATAGTAATGGTCTCCATAGACTCATGTGCTTGAATCCTTGGTCCATAGGGAGTGGCACTATTAATAGGTGTGGCCTTGCTGGAGTAACTGTGGCATTGCTGGAGAAAGTATATCACTGTGGGAGTGGTCTTTGAGGTCTTATAAGCTCAAGTCTGGCCAGTGTGGCACACAGCACAGACTCTTTCTGCTGCCTGTGGATCAAGATGTGGAACGCTCCTCCTCCTGCTCACTGCCAGATCCTGTCATGATAATGGACTAAACCTCTGAAACTGTTAAGACAGCTCCAGTTAAATGTTTTCCTTTAGAAAGCATTTGCCATGATCATGGTATGTCTTCACAACAGTAGAAACCCTAATTAAGACAACTCCTCAATGAAAGAGTCAAAATCGCACATCATTAGATGGGTTACTATCAGAGAACATCAAACATGGCTACAAATACAGGGGTGTCTTATTAATCTTTGGAAATCGGAGGATATAGTTTTCCAGATATCTAAGTCAATGCACAGTAAAAAAAGGGCATATAGGAAGTTCCTTTTGAATTAATAGACTCATTTGGTATTTATATGTCTCTTTTAGAAAGCGATCTAAAGTTACTCACATAACAGCCCACCCCTTTATATCTGTGTGTATATGAAGGGGGGGGGGGGGAGGAGGGAAAGAGACCATGCTAGTGTGTTAATATGTTTGTATATGTGCATGCAGGTCAGAGATCAACATTGGGTGCTTTCTTTTGAGACAGGGTCTCTCACTGACTAGCAAGACTAACTGGCTCTCAAACACTAGGAATCTACGTGTCTCTGCATCTTATCCCATGGATCTGGGGTTATAGGTGCATGCTACTGTTGCAGGCTTTCTCTTTTAGTTTTATGTGCATGTTTCTCAGATTTGAACTTAGGTCCTTGTGTTTACAGAGCAAAGACTTGCTTGACTGAGCCATCTCCCAGTCCTGGCATCAGTCTTATGATCTGGCATGAGGTCACTTTTGAGAATTAGATGCATGGGAGACAATCAGAATGCAAATTCATCAGGATGATGTATGGAACACTAAAATGCTAGCTGTCATCTTCTGGCTATTGTTGGCCAAATATCTTGAAACTGAAAAGAATAATACTTACCTTTTACAGGACAGTGGATTGTCACATTTGCCTGAAGGGCTGCCTCCACAGTGCCTCCCACCACAACAGACAGATGGCTGTGCTCTGGTTTGGTGACATTTCTTTCAATAGACAAGATGGCAGGTGCCTCTTAATTCAAAGGGAGCAGAAACTGTGTTAGGTTTAAACTCTTGTTCATTGACAAACATCGTTGATTTGCTGAAAGCAGTGAAGAGTGCTGGTCTCTTTAACACTGTGGTATACACAGACAAACACAGCTAGAGGTACTCAGTGCAGAGATGATGGATGGATGGATGGATGGATGGATGGATGGATGGATGGATGGATGGATGGGTGAATGAATGGATGGATGGATGGATGGTGGGTGGTTTACAACAATCAAGTATAAAGTAAAGATATTTTATCATCATAAGCAAAATTAAGGTTAACTCTTTCTTGGTAATTTCACAGAGACTCAGTTCACAAGATGCAAACCTGCATGGCAGGGCAAAATAGCGTCTCTCACATGCAGCCTCAGAAGAATTGGTGCACATCAGGGACTGTGACAATCTGTCACTTTATGGAAGGAGCGCTGTGAGGTAGGGCAGTGGATCCTGATTTATCCTTCTGCCCTTGGGAGGTGCTATGCTTGGGTTCTCCCACTGATGAAAGAATAAACCAAGGCTTAGCTAACTTGTACAAAGCATCCCACTCTGCTCTCTGCTCAGCAGCAACAAGAGCAGAGCTACTCTTTAATCAATAATCACAAAGCCTGACCCTGCACAAGATGATGCAATCAGACATTTCAATAACAATATAGATCCTAAAACAAAATCATAGACAGGCTGACTTGACAATCATAGAATAAGTATAGAGTTCAGGACTCTTTCAAAGCTGTTATGGGAAAAACCAGCTGGGCAGGAGCTCACAACTCTCATTAACTTTCTTCTAACCATGAATATGTACAAAGTGTTTTCCTGCTGGGCTACAGTAGGAATCCCAGTCAAAGTGCTGAGTGATCTCATAGCCGTTCACTCTGCAGTGTGCAGCTGCACACTTCTCCACTCTGCAGAAATTCTTCATTTATGAAATCACATGATGCTATCTCAAGTGGATTAGCACTGTTTGGAGATGTCAGGATTTAGCATTTTAATTAATGTGAAACAAATAGCCATATAAAACTTTCCCTCCCTGAAGAAATGATAAAAAGACAAAGAAGCCACAGTGTCAGGAATTAATTCAAGGATTTTCATGCCTTGAAATTTGATAATTAATGGATTCATTTATTAACTAAGCCAGGGCACATGCTTTGTCCTCCTATGCGTGTAATTTGTGTGACATGGACAATGAAAATATAAAATGAAAACACATGCACTCTTGTTTTCTGTAGCTTGGGCTACAGAAAGTTCCATTCTTTTTTGGAATGCCTGGGGCACTAGAAAACTATCCTAAGGGGTCGAAAATGATGTGACTCTTTGGGTGGAAGGGATCTTCAGTTGCCATAGCTCATCCTCTGGCTCATGAGGGCCTCACATCAGCTCTATCAGAAGTCTAGATTATTTGGTGATGGACTCAAGAACAGACTTAGGAGCATTGGTAGAGGAGGCAACTCCTAGTCACTACAGGAACTAGTGTGCTTGTGTGAAAAGAGCTAATTATTACAGGCACAACAGTCCAGGAGAAAACAAAGCCTATTAGCCTGTAGGTCACAACCCCTTTGGAGGTCAAATGACTTTCACAGGGATTGCCTAACACTATTAGATATTTACATAGATATTTACATTATGATTCATAACAGTAGCAAAATTACAGTTATGAAGTAGCAATGAAAATAATTTTATGGTTGGAGGTCACTACAACATAAGGAACCGTATTAATGGGTCACAATATTAGGGAAGTTGAGACTCATTGACCTGATTGAAGGTGGTCATCCTCTAGTCATCCAGCCTCAAGAAACTTTCAACACTGGTGGATTCGACTTTTTTAGCTTGTGGATGACAAATGTCTGCCACCAAGCCTAGCATCTAGGTGACCAAACTGGGTTCTAACATCTGATGTCTCTATTCTCCTTTGGTCCATTTGAGTTATAAAGAAAGGAAGAAAAGACAGTTGTGATCTTGGAAATGGCACTCTTATTTATGTCTAGTCCTAGAATATAATCGTGCCATGGGGAATTGCTGCTACAACTTAACCAGCTAAAAATGATCTTCTATTATAAAAAAAAATTGATACAAAGTTACAATGTCCAGTGCTTGTGAAGATGTATGCCTATGTAAAATTACAACCCCTGGGGGGGGGCAGTGCTGGCTAAGGAGTGGCAGGTATGTCACTGAGAGAAAAGTGACAACTTTAAAGGCTAGTGATTCTCATTCCTCAGCTGACGAAACTTTTAAAAGTCTATAAGGTCAACATTGCCAATGAATCTCCATCTCATTAATTCCCAATTTGTGGAAAATGAGCCTTACAGTCACTGTTTCCAGAGAGTTGGTGCAAACTAGAAACATGTTTAAAAGACCAGGCATCAAACTCATTCCAAACCTATTAAGGCAATGTTCTAGGCAGCATCCAGTAACTGGTAACATCCAGTAACTGGAAGCATCCAGTAACAAGCCCTGTACCATTTCAATACATACTGAGGTTTTAGAATGCTAGTATTCCAGGTAATAAATACAGCAACAATGAGATCACAGGCACTCTAGGCTTCGCCCATAGACATTACCTGCATACAACACCAATGAATTTTCCACATCTGAACCGAGATGATCAGCTACGGAACATTCATATATCCCTTGCTCTTTCCTTGTAGGATTTTTTATCTGCAGCTTCCCAGTTTCATCCAAAATGATCCTGCAAAAGAGTTAAAATGAGAATACACTCAAGTAACATATATAAATGTTGTAGGGTCATTGCAGGTCATAGAATGGCAACTGCACAATTGTAGGCTTTCATCTGGCATGGAACCTGAAAGGTAATCATGACCAGCCCCCTGCTTTGAAGAAGAAACTACATATATGGAAGAGTGGGGTAGGCTTTCCTCTTGCATTAGATCAGAGAGCTCTTACAACAGGCTGGGATGTGGACATACTGGCTTCTACTTTGATTTTACTACAGTTTAAAAGAAAAAAAAAAAACATGGTAGGCAAGTTGTACATCCCAGAAGCTTCCTGGAAGAGAAGGGCAGAGAGAAGTCAAACACCACACAATTCCAGGTGAGCAGACCAAGATATCAGATTCATGGTGTAGACAAGGCAGTTATGTGGCAGACATGGGGGCTTTAAATAAAGAGGAAAGAAGTCCAAACTATCAAGGGAAACAAAACAAAATGAAACAAAGCAGAACAAAACATGCTTAGGTTCTTGCTAGCATCTGAAAGAAACAGGGTAAGAAAAGGAAAAAAAAAAAACTTCCATCTTTCTGAGTCAGACCAGACCCAGAACCTCATAGCAACCACACTATGGTTTGTGGAAACTGCCCTAGAGGGCAGGAATTCTGGGAAGGAAAAGTAAAGTACCTCACTTAAGCAGTCAATTAGTCCACCTCTCTCTTTAGCATGGCTTAAGGTGAGACTAGTCTGCTAAGGGCAGTCTCTCCTCTGATGGGGGATAGTCAGTAGATCAGGTGATTGATTCCCCAAACTTGAGACCAATGAGTCTACTCTCAACCAGGAGCTTGTCCTTAATGGGCCTATATGGCTCTAATAATATTAAGTGAATTAAGCCATCTCAGAAAGGCAAACATCCCTCGTTTGCCTTTTTCCATTTGTCCTTCCTAGACTGTGTGTAGATAAATCAAGTCACATGTAAATGGAGTTCTTAATCGGCCTAAGGAAAAAACAATCAAACAAACAAACAAAACAGCAGCAACAACAAAAAACAGCAAAAAAGCCCAAAAAACAAAACAAAACAAAACAAACAAACAAACAAAAAAACCTGGAGTCAGATATAGAGGAAAATGCTGAGAGATCAGAGAGAGGGAGTAAGCCACTGCCACACCTTATCCTTTGCATCTTGGCAAACAAGAGAGTGAGGTCCTGTTTCTCCCTGCTTATATCCTATTTCTGCCCAGCAACCTTAACCTTACTTCCTGTCTGTCCGTACAGACCTCCAGACCTCTATGGTTAGCTAGTGGCAAGCTCCATTCTTTGACCTTCAGACAGGCTTTATTTGTACAAGCAAGATGTCACCACAGTCACACACACACACACACACACACACACACACACACACACCCATGAAAGAAGTAAAACGGTTTAGGCAGATAAAAAATGGGAGGAAGAATATTTTTAGGGGAAGAAATCTGAAAATGTTTCTAAGAAAACTAGAAGAGGCCACAATAAAGAACTATCAAGGAAAAACTGTGTACTTAGTTGACTCACTTCACAGAGGGCTGCAGCAATGCTCCATCCTTGGTCCATGTATACGTGGCCTCACTGCTGGGAGTAATAAGATTGCAAAGTATATTGATGGCCTCTGTGCTTTTTGTAATGTATACTGTATTCCCAATCCTTGCATTTATTGTTTTGTTAAATGAAACTGAAGGGGGTAGGGTGTGTCTCATGAGAACAGGTCCTTTTGGCTTAAAAGTCAGCTTGCCTGAGGTTTTTACTGTGGAGCTTTGGGGAGCTCTACCTGTCTCCCCTCTGAGCTGAGCCTCAGCAGCCTCCTCATGGATGCCCCTCTGCTGGACAGGCATCTGCTGAGCTTTGGCCAACTCAGCTACCAGCTGATATATCATCTGAGATGCGAGGTCATCACTGGCCTCTCCTGTCTCCATAAGTTGGCTCATGTTTCTTATAAGCTCATCAAATTGGGTTGTGTCCATGCTGTATGCTCCCTGTTTCATGGCTGCCTCAAACTGCTTGGTCTTAAACTCCCATGAGTTGGTGTTTCCTGCAGAGCTCCTGCATGGCCCTAACAGAGCTCTTAAGAACAGCTGGTTGTTGATTTCCCCATTGTGCAGGTAAAGCTCATTTTGGCTGTTCCACTTCTGACGCATTTTATGCCATGTGGCTCCCAAACTATTGGCTTCATTGTGGTTTACCCCAGAGTGAGCCCGCAGGTGTTCTCTGAGGGATGGGTGAGCAATGAGTCTATTGTCTGTCCCAATGAGCTTGAGGACAATGGTTTCCTGTGCAGAGCCTGCAATGCATCTGTACACACCAATGTCAGGGGCTGCAAGACTGTGGATCTTTAGTGAGCCTGATTTGGTGATGCCAAGCTGCTTGGAGTTCTGCAGACAATGGCCATCCTTCTCCCACTGGATCAGAGATTTCTGGAAGCGTCTTACAGGGCATTTGATGATCACAGATGTATTGAGCAGCAAGTAGGCTCTACTGCCAATAGTCAGGTTGATGCGTTTCTCCTCTCTTGTCTGAATATAGACTCTCCGAACACCGAGAATCTGGGGACCCCTCTCTCCAAGTCGCGTCTTTGTCCCAAGTTTCATTTCTGCAGGGGAAAAGAAAATAAAAAAAAAAAAAAAGAAAGAAAGAAAGAAAGAAAAGGAAAGAAATTGAGGGAAACTAACTCACAAACAGAGGTTTTTGACAGGAAATTTTTGAGGCTGATTGACCTAGGCATACTACTATATCTTTTCTTAAATTCTTTAAAAATGTGAATTAAAACAAGAAAAGAATCTTACATCCATGCTTGGGGTAAACTTCACAGCTCTCTAGTACTTCAGCAAGGATGCATGTAGGTATAATTCATGGGTTGCAGTTAAGGCTTTAGAAAGCTCCTCAGATGACTGAAATACTCAACTAGTTTGAAGACATCTTGGCGCATACCACTGGAGCAGACTAATGTAGTAGAAAAAGGCACAGTTGGGCCAGTTTCTTCTATTCAGTGACACTGACAAACTGCTACTAGCAAGGAGGGAAGGGAAATAAGAAAGAGCATCTGTATTGTCTGTGAGCTCAAGTCTCTACCATACACATGTCCTTTCCTAAGATTTGCAGTGGAAGCATGTATATCTGATCTTAGCATCAGGTATCATGGTGCTTTGCTGATTAAGTCATACTTGTGTGTTATCAGGTTTCTGAGAAATGGATTGTGGAAAGGATGTGTGGGAAATGGATAGCTGTGAAACTCAGTCTTTAAGAACAATGCCAAGTCCAACACTGGGATTCATGTGATAGTGTAAAGTGCTGAGAAAGATTCTTTCAGAACAGTAGAGTCCTCTACACAAAAAGTGAAAATTGACTAGTACGGCACAGAACCCTACACAAGGCGCTATCTAGTTGAATGACTCAGGTTGGAGGCCCACAGAGCAGTTTGATTCCTGGCATCCAATGACCCAATATGGACATGGGCCTACCAGTGGTCTTCAAGATGTCCTCAACCAAGCTTAAAGTTGATAGCACCTGATTCTTTTCAAGGCAGGCCATGAAGCCTGGATGCCCCTCTGGCTGCATGCCCATTTATAGGAGACAAACCCTATGATCCCACCCATCCCCTTCCCAGCTCTGCCTTGGCAATTGCTGACACTGAGGGTACAGGGAAGTTCAGATAGCAGAGGCCAGGGAGTGGATTGAGATTATCCTGCAAGAAGACACTCATGAGACTTGTAAAGCTGCTAGGTTCCACATCTTTAGGCAGTTTCCCCTGTTCTCCCGTGAGTCCCTTCAGAGCAGACCCTGAGAATGTGGTATCACTGGACCATATCTTGGGGGAGGGTCTGATCTGATGTGGACTTTCTATCTCTCTTACATCTGGGACTATTCCAACATGGTAACACTGACCAAGCCAGATGAGACCAAGGCATCATCATCTACCCTATACCATGGTCAGGGATGGACTGCATCCTTTTGGAGGAGCTTCTGTGCTATGTAATAGTGCCAGCCCATCACTTTATCCCTTCCACTATTGCAGGGTATGAGAGGTATCACATCTTTGGCTTTTATAAAATATGAAACTCTTTCTTCTACATGTCTTCTTTCTGGGTCTTTGAGCTAGCCTGACATAAAGGCCAACTCCAGGTGCCAGATGACATTTATAAGCACATGCTTCTGTACCTTGCATACCTGTCCTGTCTCTATTTATTATATCCCTGCCATTACTCTAAGCCTGGGAAGTATGCCAAATTTCTGTCTCATGCCATCCTAGCTGCAATTTATGCTTGGTTCTCCAGCATTTGACTTTTGCCACTCCTTAATGGGCTTTGGCCATGACCCAACCCTTACAGCCTTCCTATTATCCTGCTGGAAGCCTCTTAGACTTTGGATCTCAGTCTGGCCATTTGGCTGGTACTAGTTCCCTCTCCTTCCACTAGCATGGGGATCCAGCAAGACAAGCTCATCTGAATCTATGTCAAGAATGTGAAGAGTCAGTTTCTTTAGGCTTCTTTGAGAGCTACTGATTAGAGGCTGTAGGAATGGTATGGGTGGGACTTGCTAAAGGACTTAAGATGCTTCTGATACTCCACAACCATGGTATGGCCCAGGTCAGACTGAAACAATAGCTCCCAGTTACATGCTTCTGTTTTACTATTAACCAACTCCAGCCTGGGTTCTGTTCCTATTACTACACTAACGTTCTCAGGAAACGGCCACCAATGATCTCTAGTGATAAATCCATCACCTTCTCTTTTGGATTCTAACCCACACTTCTATAAGGAGTAAGGTTTTTTCGCCTGCCGCCTAGTCTTGTCCCGCCACCGCGCCAGCCCCAAATAATACACAGAGACTCTGTATTTGATATAATACTGTTGGCCAGGTACTAGTTTCTTATTGGCTAGCTCTGTCTTAATTATTAACCCATTTCTATGTATTTCCACATGGTCTTACCAGCGAGAGGTGGCTGGCAGTTCTGCCTTCTCCAGACTCTCCATCTTGACTCCTCCTTACTACTTCCTCTTTCTTCCTTGTCCCCTAGTCCCGCCTGTCTTTCTTTCCTATTGGCCAACAGTGTTTTATTCATTAACCAGTATGAGAAACATACAGAATGACATCTCCCATCACACTTCTCTAATAAGTTCTTCTCAGTGTATTTGTGTATGAAAGGTGACTGACACTGGGCATGAGTAACTCATTTGAGTTCAGAGTTTGGGTCTCCCAGTGTCTAACCATATGACACTGGCAAGCTATGATAGTTGTCTCCTTCTTAAAGACATAGTGGTTATAGCTGCCTCACAAGTTGTCTTGAATCTCATGAAAGACTGCCTAAACATTTGCAAACAGGGCTAGGTACAAACTGCAAAACTCAGAAATACTAGTTAAGGATGTGGATTTTCCTACTGTAAAAAAAAAAAAAAAAAAAAAAAAAAAAAAAAAAAAAAGAAGAACCTCAGTTGATAGATACAACAGAGGGAAGAATTTGAACTTGTAAAAGGCTAAGCCTGATGAGGTGCCTTTGCAGGGACTGCTTGCCTGTTAGACTATATGGTGTACTGCTGTTCTTTAGGGGAAGCATGAGACATTCTTCCTACCTTCTTCCAATCCTAAAGCAAATCTCCAAGAACATGCATTTTACTTAACCCAGGACACTGTTCAGTGCAGATATTCTAAAATGGTTTCTGACGAGGGCTACAGCACAGCTGGGCTTGGCTTCTCTTGTCCATATCTTTAATTATGGAGAGGTTAAATTCATGCAAGACCATATATTTTCTGATTTGGGGAAGGAACAGGGTGGATTTGAGGTGAAAGAGAGAGGAAAGTCAAAAGTATGTTGTGCTAATATACCTTACTGTTACCAATGGGTAAAAGACGATATCATTCACTATGAATAGCAGCATGGTCATGGGAAAACAGCTGTTCTGGTAAATTTCTAGTGATTTCTTAGTAAACATGGGGTGGCCCACATTTATCATCCAGCTTATTTTAGACAGCATAAGCATGCATGTCTCACTGGCAGGGTAACATTATTTATTCTTAGAAATCCCAGTAACTCAAGCCAGGAAGCAAAAAGCATGCAAGAAAATCACTTGAAAGTAATGCTAAGGTTAGAGATAAGCAGGGACTCCGGCAGTAGGTTAAAGAAAGGCATAAATCTGGCAACAGGGTTGATTAAGTGGATGACCAGAAAAGCCAGCTAAGTGAACTGGTTTCATACAGGAGGAGAATGTTGGGAAGTAATAGGGATATATGGAAGCTTCAGAGGTCAGAGTGAGACATTAATCAAATGAGGCCTAACACCTGGAAGCTTGGGTGTCATCCAACCATGGTGATGGCATGGAAGAACTGTTGTGGTTGGGAATGAGAACATTACCTATCAGAAAGGTCATCAATAAGGAACTTGGTTGTCCTGTGTATTGGCATATGTTAGTAAGGAAGATAGGACATGGTGGTGTGCCCTACACTAAAGTAGGAAATGTCTTGAAGACCTACACAGTGGACCTTGTAATGTCTAAGGAGGATGATTAAAATAGCATGCACAGGAGGGAAGAAAAGATGCAACAGAGACAGGATGCTGGGAAAGTGTCCTGCTTATCGCCTGGCCCTTAAGATGCAGTTGTGGTGAGAGAATGGTCCATGAATGTTCAGAGGGAGCTGATCACAGCATGGCCAAGCAAATACCATCAATCAGAGGTGATGACTTGGCACCAGATGGAGGCAGAACTGGAGTTCAGCTCATGGTGGCTGGCCAATTAGAAGCATTCTGGCTCCTGCCCCTTCTATGGCCTATGTGGTCAACAGGCTGGGGAGCATCGTGGGGTAAAGCAAAATGTTTTGTTTTTCTTGTTTTGTTTTCCTTCCTAATGCTTGTGAAATTCTCTCTCCTGAATGCCATAATGATTTATAATCCTATCCTGTACATCACATGTCCCAATGACCACAACATATCCTCACATAGTGTTCTGTCTATTTCCAAGGAGGCTCTTGGTTATGATATTAATTTCATTTTCCTCCAAGGCATTTTATAGCCTAGTCCCACTGATAAAAATTGGGAAGGTAAGTGACTAAAACAAACACATGCCGTGCCATTTGCCGCAGGCATTCTTGATTTCCAGAAGGCTTTAAAACTTGGAATCTTGGGGTTTTAGAATGTCAAGATTTTGAAAATATGTTCTCAAAGTATTCTCCCCCGCAAAAAAAAAAAAAAAAAAAAAAAAAAAATGTTAGTGTCTATGAATCAGCAGAGAGTAGTAGCTAAGAGTGTGGGCTCAAGAGTCAGACAGACTTGTGGTCAACTAGGCTAAAGGGTCCAATTGGCAATCATGGAGTCTAGGGTAAAACTCAGGTCTTGCCTCTGTCTTGCTTGCCTTGTCTCTAAATGAGGATAATTTCTGACTCTGAACATTGCTGGGGAGACTAAATGAGATAACTATGCAAAGTGCTTTTCCATGGTGGAAGGTAATCAACAAATATTACTACTTTTCATTTGAACATGATGCATTGTTTTGTGAATTTTTCCAGGAATACTGTCAATAAACTAAGGACACACACTCACACACACACACACACACACACATACACACGCACGCATGCACGCACACACACACTCACACACATGTGCATGCAACAACAAAATGGCAATAGTTCACCTCTTTTTTTTCACTACAGAAAAGCTTAGTGGGGCTACCTGATACATTGCATGCTATTTTATAGGTGAACGAAGACAGTAAATAGCAGAGGCTGGCCCCCAAAGCTCAGGGTTCCCTACCCTGCTCTACTGTCACCTTCCAGCTGCCTGTTTGCAGCTGCTGCTGTGACAGCCCTGATCTCACCAGTTGTGGTCCTCTCACGAGATACATACACAAGAGTTTGTAGATATACATCCTCTCACATATATGCAAATTACTTGAATAGAATGAAAATACACTATTGACATTGCAGCAAGTTTAAGATTTATAATTACTTAACAAGATACGCAATCTGCCATTTACTTGAAGCACATTTCTATGCTAACTGATTTAGATTTATACGGAATAAAAAAAAACATTAAAGTACTTTTTATCAAATACTCAGCTCTTCCACTTTCAATAATGTGAACACAGATACACTTCTGACAAAGTAAGCCAAGAAGCAATTCAGCTTAATCCCTAGAAGGACCCTCATGAACAGACTTTCCTTAAAAGTTTTCTAGCATTTACCGCTGAAAACAAGCTGGAGTTTCTCTTGGGTTGCTTCACCGCAGGAGTTGAGATAGGTTGATGAAAAGGAAAGGGAAGATTCTGAAGCGTGGATGCTGCTGCTTACTTACTGCTGCACACAGGCATCTGACAAGGTCTCACGAGGGGTAGCCCGGGCAGGCCCCTGCACAGCGTTTCACTGAGGGGCACACGCCGGCCTTTGGCAGTCAGCCTTTGACACGTCTGCTTTCTTCTCTGGAATCCAACACCACAGGTGACAGAGCACTGCAAAGAGAGTGGGGCATGTCAGATGGAGCATGCTCAGGACAACCTACCGACAGAGCATGCACAGGACAGCCAGCCAAGGGCAGCAGTTTCGAAGGTTGATGTTCACTACAGAGAGAGCTTCTCATCACAAAACTTCTCTCCTTTCCCTCCCTTTCTTTCTCTTCGTTTTCATTAATCCCCCTTTCCTTAATTTCCTTCTTTCTTCAGACCTTTCTGAGATGAACAAGTAACTGACAATAATTTATTGTAGAATTTACAATTTCATTTTTGACATTAGAAATGGTGCTTAATTTAATTTACTTTTTTTGGTGTGTGTAGTATATGTGTGTGTTTGTGTGTATGTGCACATGTGAATGTGTGCTTTTAGAGATCTGAGGACAAGTGTTTTCTTCTACCTTAGTTTTGAGACACTGTCTCTCACTGAGCCCAGAGCTCAATTACTGACTAGCAGGTTGGCTAGCAAGCGCTGGGACTCTGACTGTCTCTCCTGACCTGCTGTGCTTGTGTTACACATGTGCACCACCACATGTTATTTTTATGTGGGTACTGGAGAGCTGACTTGGCTCTTCATGCTTGCACAGCACACACTTTACTGACTGGGCCATCTCCTCAGCTCTCTAATGTGCTTTTTACTCTATGTTTATACAGTAAAACAAAGACAAGTGTAGAATATAAAACTGATATGTAAAATTAACATCTCAGCAGTTCTGTTCATACTAGCTACAAAAGTTTAGTTAACAAAGACAAAAACCAAAACAGCTACACAATGAAAAGTGTAGAACATTGATGATAATAATTGAGATGGATACACAAAAACTGGAAAGAGATCCCATGATCATAGAATAGAAGAATGGATGTTGTAAAATGTACATATTACCCCAAGCAATCTGCATACCTAAAGCTATCCCCTTCAATATGTCAATGACACTCTTCACGGGACTATAAACAAAGCCTAAAATTTGTGCTCAAAAGTAGCCAAAGCAATCCTGATAAAATAGAAGGGAAGAGACCTTTCAGTACTCAGCTTTAAAATATACTAAAACAGGATAGTATTAAAAATAAACATCTAGAGTAATAATAATAATAGTAAACTTGTGCATCTATAATCAACTAATTATCAACAAAGGTGCCAAGAGCATGCACTAGAGAAAGAATGGTCTTTTGAATAAATGGTGCTGAAAAAAAATGTTATCCACATACAGAATGAAAATTATAACCTTACCTCTCACCAGCTACAAAAATTCAACTCAAGGTAAATTTAAAAAAATACAAGACATGAGAATCACTAGAAGAAAACATAGGGGATACACACATTCAAGCATTAGAATGGACAAGAACTGTTTGAATGTGACTCTAAAGGTATAGGAAACAACTTTGCAGCCAGATGGAACTTTACCAAACTAAGAAACTTCTGCACAGCAAAGGTAAAAATTCTCAGAGTGAAGAAGTGACCCACAAAATCAGAGAAAATGTTTGAGAAGAGGGCATCATGTAGTTCATACAAGTAACTCAAATCTCTCTAGACAAACCCAAGAAAATGCAACTAATAAATGGGCAATTCACCTAAACAGACATTTCTTAAGAGAGGACATTCAAATGACCAAGGAGCACATGAAGAATGTTCACTATCACTAATTACCAGAGAAATGAAAAAACCACAATGAGATGTTACCTCACTTCAGTAGGGCAGGCTTTCATCCAAAAGATAAATGGTAACAAGTGTTGGTGGGGAGAAGAAAGGAGACCCTGTCATACCATTGGTCCGTAGAAATGTAGATTAAATATAACCATTATGGAAAACAGTATGGAAGATTCTCAAATAAGGAAGGAAGGAAGGAAGGAAGGAAGAGAAGGAATGAGGAAGGAAGTAGGAAGAAAAGAAGGGAAGGAAGGAATGAAGGAAGGAAAGGAAGGAAGGAAGGGAAGAAAAGGAAGGAAGAAAGGAAGGAAGGAAAGGAAGGAAGGAAGGAAGGGAAGGAAGAAAAGGAAGGAAAGGAAGGAAGAAAGGAAGGAAGGAAATGAAGGAAAGGAATGAAGGAAGGAAAGGAAAGAAGGAAGCCTAGAACTACTCATGCTCTGGCAATCTCACCACTGGTTATGTCTCCAAAAGAACTGAAATCAGTATGTTGAAAGAGAACCTGCCTTCCCAGGCTTGTGTGGTGCACAGCTGCTGACAGATGAAAGCAGAAGCACCCATCACCAAGAAGTAGGTAGAGACTGTGGTGCATTTACATCATGGAATACTTATCCATGGAATACTCATCCATGGAATACTGATTCACGCCCAAAGATGAATGGAATCCTGTCACCTGTGACAACATGGACGAAACTGGATGTCATTATGTGAGCAGAATGAACCATCACAGAACGACAACTGTCAAGATAGGAATGCTGTAGTTTGGGGAGTCAGGACAGAGGGCAAATAGAATTGGGAAGGGTGGATTAATAGGTACTAAGTTACAGTTAGGTAGAGGCAGGGAGTTCTGGTGTGTTATTGTCCACTGTGACTATATATAACATTAATGCACTACATATTTAACAAAAATAGAAGGTTTTTTCCCAGAAAGAAATTATTTACCCCTGGTATGATATATATTTGAGGAGATAGGCATGCTTACCTCCCTGCCTTACACAGCCTCCCCCACCACACACTTTACTCATTTTATATATCAATGAACAAAATAAAATGGAAAACATATATGATTGAGTATAATTTGAATGTCTCCCAAGATCCACGCATAGACATGGTTTTCCCAGAGGTGCTAATAGGAAGATCTGTGGGGTCTAAAGGGAGGATCTTAGGTCACTGAGAGTACAACCTTAAAAGAGATTGTCCAGCTCCTCCCATATATCACTCCCTCCCCGGCTCCTGGATTGAGATGGGACCACTTACTCTTCCCATTAATGTCCATCACACTCTCAAGAGATGAATGATGCAAGTTACAGTGCCTTCAAAGTTCCCCAGATTGTGAGCTATAGAAATCTTTCCTCTTCATGAATTCATTACTTGGTGCATCTCAATACTGATTCAAAGCTAACTAATACAGAAAGACTCCACTAAAGAATGAGCCAAACTGCTACATACAAAACAACATGAACCATCAAGTAAGGTACATGCAGTTTAATTTAAAAATTTAACACAATTTATTAAGTATATTAGGGAAAATTGAATAAAATTACAAGATCTGTTGAAGGCTTGGGCTTTTTAAAACCATAATTAATTTCAAAAAGAATGCTCTGGAGTTATTACAGAAGATTAAAGAAACATGAAATTTGAATAGTTATTTTAATGGCATACTTGACTTAAGAGAATATCCACGGCCATCTGTTAAGCAAGGGAAGAAAGTAAGCCTACTCCCATTACTCTGCCACTCCTTTCCAGATTCCCAGTTAGCTCCCATCATAACACTGAGATGATGTCAAGATTTCCAGTATTTACAGTCTCTTCTACACTATCAGTGGCTACTTGATTTGTTTTAACTTTATATTTAAATGAATTTACAATTTATCTTCCATTTTTTTAAAAAATGAAGATGAATGAACAATCTTTTTTGGTCCTCTGACCTACTCTATTGTACTCACATGAACAGGAACCACCATGCAGAGAATACTGTCTATAAAGCTTTCTATCCCTTAAGTCCTGATCCTTTGTCTTCCTGTGTTAAATGCTCATGGGAAAATGTGGGGCCCATTGGGTATGTTTACCTCTTCCACTCTTAGATCTATGAGTTCTTTAGTTAAGTTAGCATCTTGGCAGACTGTCCTCCATGTTGTATTTTCTTAGCACATGGTAATCCATGATTTGCTCATAAACTTTTATTAAAGGAAGTCAATGGTTCCATTTTATATCAATATTTTCCTGTTCCTTTAGCTTTGTTGTTAACAAACACTGATGAGGCATTATGCTTACCTACCTCCCATACCCATCAGTGCCTTTAAAGAGCAACATCCATCTCGCTTGTTGGCTCTTCTCCAAATCATTTCATGTTATCTATTCTAGCATGTGTGCCAACTCACTAATAACTAATAACTTATTTGTTATTATTTCTTGTGAATCAACCTTTGGTTCTGTTTGTTTTTTATTTATTTTTTGAACTTTACTATGGATCACACAATTTTTATTATGTATGCTTATATATATGTATATATATATAATTATTAACACACATATATATACAATTTGAAAATATAGACATCCCTTTTAGGGTTGAGTTCTCTAAAGTCTTTCACTCTCTGCATATTGTGCAGGTATGGTCTTTTGTGTTAATTCCCATCTACTGCAAGAACAAGCTTCTCTGATAATGGTAGAGTGAGACAATGACCTATGGATATAACAATATGTCATTTTATTGCTATGTTCCTAAGCCACATGACCTACCCCACCTTAGCAATTGTGGACTCCATCTCAGAATGGGCCTTAAGTCCAAACAGAAGTGGTTGGTTACCCTCATAAGGTTTGTTCTATTATTGCACCAGTATATCTTGCCACCATGTCTGTTATAAGTCACAGGGTTGTGACTGGGTGATATTGACGATTACTTTTCTTCTTCAGTAGCATGCAAATTGCATTCCAGCACCATGAGTGTTATAGTCAATAGGGGTGAAGCTTCTAGTTGGACACCAGCTCAATCTCTCCATGTTCAATGACATACGTTAGTTGTGTCTTCAGCAGTAGGGCTTATGGCAATAACCTTGATGCTTGGGGAGGAAGTCTATGAGACCCCTTAGGCACTGAAGGTTTTATATGATAGCATAACATGTCTAGTCACCATGGTGATTTCATTTGAATTTATTTCATATATGTATTAGATAAGCATACACACAAAGAATTCCTTGAGTTTTTTGTGGACTTTTTCTTTATTATATTTTTAAGTTTTTTTGTTTTGAGTTTTGGGGGGTGTTGAGAGAGAGAACATGAAGTTAGGTGGGTAGGGAGTTGAGTTAGATCTGGGAAGAGTAGTGGAAGGGAAATAATATGTTCAAAATATATTGTATAA